GACCCAATGGTTATAGCACTGCGGCGGGCAGCCTCCAATGATAAAAGAAGATTTGCCAACTCGTATCGCGCGTGTAAGATTGCATTGCGCCTCTAAATTTGAGAGCAATTTTCTCGGCGGGAAAGGCACGCTGTGCGACAGGCATTGTACTGTTTTCATACCTGGGTAATGAGCAACCTACCGCATTAGAATCATGAGTTGTTGAATTTTGCCGATCCACTGCCTTCAAACCATAACAGTCGAGGGAGGCAACCCATGAGTAATTCGCGGTTCTTGCCACCTGACTACTGAAATCCATGGTATCAGTTGGAAGCACGGACCCTGAAGGGATACCAAAGATGTTTTAGCGCAACTGCTACCAAAATAAGGAAGTTTCAATTCTCACTATTTATTCCGCTTTGGCCTGAGATGTAAAACTTCCCCTTTGCCTCGCTAAACCATTGAAGTACTACGTAGATTTGTTGCAATTGCTCAAAACCAGTGAAAGAACTTAACAACGAAGAGACATGTGGAAGTCCGATGGCACCACTGCGCCGTGCGCGAAAGATTGATGACTCCGTAATTGCACAACGCAGCGTGCGACGTCTAGTGTTGACAATTTGAGTGTTTTTTTTTTCTTTTAAAAGTTCTTTACATTTCAGCTGTACTGATTTGTTTGTATGGACAGTAGGAATTTCTTTGAACTCAGTGTAGAAGACCTCATCTAGTTTAAAATGTAGACAGGTAGGAAGTCAGGTTTCTTGTGTTAGTCTGGATGTAGGTTCTGAGAAAACCATTGTTCACTTTTTGTTCATCGGGATTGGGCTTTTTTGATATCAGAAAGTCATTGGAGAGTGTTTTGATTTCGCTTCTAGCCGTTAGTGACAGAAGTTAACTTTCAACTTGCATTGTGCTTTTGGAATTTGAGTTTGTTAAATTGTCTGTGTTTATACTTCAAGACCGAATTGAAGCAATGTTTATGGTTAAACGTAGCTTTGATGTTTGCAAATGAACCTAATTCATGTCTTCTTCGGACGTCGATCACGGAATCTATAGACGCGATTTTCAGTGATCCATTGATCCGCCAACAAGACAGTGATCGATCCATAATAAATCATATTCATCCAAAATGCAAACCACCAACATTTTGCAAATACTCCATCACCAATTGCTTCTGCTATTTGTCGATTAGTCTCTTGAGTACCATAAGCAGCGTTCATATAGAGATATCTGCTGAAGTAAATGATCCAAGCTATACAGCAACGAAAATCGAGCACATCTTCCCAGTCATTCGAAAGCGGGCGCGGATAGCTCCATTCTGTGATTTTTTTCCATCCATAAGATTCCAGTTCATAGTCCGCGCCACAAATCTGACAGTT